CTCAGGGCACAAAAACATCCCAAAAAGCTTTCTGAGCATAAGCCAAACCTGTTCCCTCTCTGTCCCTCTCTGTTTTTCAGAGCTGATTTCCTCTTTGTGCCAAAGAGCCTCCAAAAAGAGAGAAGGAAAGTGAATGTGCTTGGGGGTGTCAAGGGGGGGAGGAAAAATAAAATAAAAGACACTGCAACAGAGAGAGGGCCAAGAAAAATATTTAATCCAAACAATGAACATTGTCATTTCCTCCCACAGTCTGCATTCCCAGTCAACTTCCCTGGGCAAGCAGGGAGAGCCAAGAATGACCGGGCTCTCTGCCTCACCAGCGTGGATGTGTGTAAGGAAAGGGATGTGTCCTGGGGACATGCTGCTGTAGCATCACTTTAGCCAGCTCCTGTCACAGCTCTGGCTTTAAGGACTGACAGTTTTCTGCAGGGGAACAGTGGTTTGGAAGGATGTTGGAGGGATTGGGACAGGGATGGGAGGGGGAACTTTCAGGGACCCCAGCTGGGGTGGTGGATGTATAGAGGCTTTAAGTGAACCAGATGTTTAACAAGGCTTTGGGCACTCTTCAAGTCTTCCCAGGGACCTCCCAGAGCTTTTGGAGAGATCTTGCTAGTGACTGAGGTGGGGAGGAAGGGGAGACATCCAGCAGGGAGAAGCTGCCCTGTGCCTCTCCAAGGGCTACTCCATCCTGTCCATTCTTTCCTGTCCCCACACATCCTGCCTATTCCTCCCTGCTACAGGCAGCACCTTCACCTGGGACACAGCTTCTCTTGCATGCCTGGGACCCCTGCAGCTGTAGCACTCTCTGGGGCACCTCAGGTTCATGTCCTGTAGCTCTGTGAAGCCTGGTTTGGGCTGACATCCCCCTGCCACCACAGGGATGGGGTTTCCAACTCCTCTTCCCACCACTAGTGACTCATGGGTCCCAGAAGCAGAATTACCGGTGGTGAAGCTGATGCACAAGGCATGAGTCTGAGGGCAGCAGCAGCAGCTTTTCCAGGGCTGGTCCCTGCCCAAATGGTGGTTCCTCTGTTTCTCTGGGGCTGCTTTCAAAGTGACAGCTGAGGAGAGCAAAAACACATGCATCTTCTCAGCCACGTGGTTGAATTAGCATGCAAACAGTCTGAGCTTGATGCCCAGAATACCAATTCCCAAAGGGAAAAATTACACCAAAATTCACGCTGACTTAGAAGCTCCATGAAAGCAAACTATGCACCCTCCTTGGACGGATCAGCAGAGTCACAAAGCCCAGGACCAGTCTGGGAGAAAGCATTTGGCTTCTTAAGGCTGGACTTGACTTCCTGAGACTGGACTCTAGCTTTTCAATGGCTGTGTACAGATAGAAATGACAAGCACTTTCCATCTCAGTGGCAGATCAGAGGAGTCTTTCAGCTCCTCAGTTACATAGTTGGCCAGGTGAATGCTGATTTTTTTTTCTTTTTTCCACCTTCCTCCAAAGCATCTGGAATGGGGCATGGCCAAAAGCAAGGTGCTGAGCCCTCAGGTGTGCTCAACCAGAGCAAAACCTGCATTCCTGAAAAATAATGTGTAGCACTGAAATATGTCCAACACTGATGTGATCTGTGATTGAGTCTTCATGATCCACCTATCCCTCACCTGTTGCACCCTTTTGTGCTCCTTCACACTGAATTAAACTGTGTACGGTGGATCTGAAGAAAAATGCCTGGACCCTGCTTGCCTCACTGATGGCTCTGGGGACTCCCTGCTGGGCAGGACAACAGCCCCAGGCATGGAGCCAGCCTGGGGACTCTTCAAGGGTTGTGGAAAAACACTGTGTGCACAGTGCAGGACATCTCCCAGCATCCTTGAGAGAAACCCCACCACTGAGCACTCAGAGATGCTTCTGGCTGGGATGCACTGGGATCTAACCAGTCCCTTCTCACATCCTTCCTTTGCCTGAAATATTTTTCCCTCTTCATTCTTTTTCCTCTTCGATTCTTTTTTTCCTCTTTCATCTGTGCTTGCTCCCAGCTTCGAGAGGCTGTGTTTTTTTAGCCTATTTCACTTGCCAAGCCCTTGATTTGCCGTTACTATTTTTGCGGCGGCAGCGCAGGGCTCCGGCCCGGCAGTGCCAGCTGCTGCACCTCCACGTGCTGCCACACGCCCCGCTGGAGCTCCTGTCTGAACAAACAAGGAAGATGGATGGCCCAGCGAGCGGGAGAGCTGCTGACACAGCCCGTCTCCCTGGCTGCCTCGGTGGCACGCCTGGCCCAGCAGCTCCCCACCGCTCAGCACAGCACACAGCGGCTGCTGCAGTCGCCTTATTCATTTTTTCCCTGTTTATAAGAGACTTCTCAACCCCCCTCCCACCAGTGGAGGATGGGTATTCTGGCAGCTGAGACCCAGCTGACCATTTCCCTGGATCTTATCCATCACCTTCATGTGGCACAGCTGGGCATTGGTGTTTTCCTTTTTCTTGACAGCATCTTAAGACATCATCAGGTGTTTTTGTGAGTTGCAGACGTGAGCAAACTGCCTTCTCCCAAGCTGGCATTGCTTTCTGTAGAGGCACAGGTCTCCAGCACAGGCTGAACAGACTCTGTATGGGTTCTGCTCTCTCACATCACTTGCCCTTAGCAGATTGCATTGCCTGTGTCATCCTTTGCTGTGATTCCTTCAAGGCCAAAATGAGACTGATGCAAGTACAAGGGCTCCTGTGCCCTTGAGGATAACCAGCACCTTACTTTGTTCTTTCTGCTTGCAAAGACAAATCCATGGAGGAGGTTCTCAGTAAGGCAGAGGCACAGGAGTCACCATGTTCTCCAAACACTAGCAAGGAGCAGGGACAGAAATCCCCAAACCCTGTGCCTGGCTCTCCTGAGCCTCAAGTCCAATTAGTCATTTTTTATTTTCCCTTCATGTGTTTTTCCAATGTAATTTGGAGCATGAGTTGTTAAGTTTCCCCAAGTGTTGCCATAGGAGACTGTATTTGTTTAGGGTGGGGTACGGGCTCCGGCTGGGTGAGAGGAGGGGGCAGTTAGCCCTGATAGGTGTAGTGAGAGACTGGGAGACTCCCTTCCCCTTGCTGTCCCTGCCTCTGTCCTCCCCCCACCTTGCACGCAAGATCTGGAAATCGTTTCAGATCTGTGCAGCCGGGATGGGCAAACCTCCCCATAATTGTATGGAAACTACCAAAGCGACGGGTGTTGTTTTGCCAGTGAGTCATGACACATGGAGCAGAGCTCAAGGAAAAACTCCACCGTGGGGAAGGCTGCAAAAGAAAATCACACCCAGAAGAGCCTTCCCCTGCCAGCAGCCCTGGCCAGTCCCGACTGCATCCTGGCACCTGCCAGCCCCGACATCCCTGCCCTGGCCCTCCCGGTGCTCAGAGCTGCTCTAAGAAACCTTCTTTGATCACAATCATTTAAGATCCACCTGATGCTTTTTAGTAGAAGATGAGTGTTATCACTGTTGCCTTGAAGAAATTGCACCCTGGTCTCCTCTGGACGCAGTTTGTGACAGCAATGATTGGAGTAAAATCTCTTCTTGTTTTGGAATGCGCTACCTAACTTGGCTGTGCCTCAATTTCCCTGCTGTAGGAAGGTGTGCTCTTTCTTGTGCTCTTCCAAAATCTTCCAGGCTAATGTGATCTCTCTGTGGCTGCCTGAATTTGGCCTGTGGCCTGTGCTACTGATAGCAGAGACCAGACTTGGTGGTTTGCCATAATCCCTGCTGCTACTTCCTAAAATGTTATTAGCCTGTGTTGAGCCCATTTCTCTTCCTTTTGAGTCACAAGGACAAAAAGCCACATGGGTTCTCTGGTTTTGGCATGGTTTTTTCATGTGAATTACTGGTATTATCACCAGGCCCACATGTTGGCTTTGGCACAGTGGATGCAGGGCTATTGCGGTGCAGTGACATTTTTCAGCAGGCTCTCATTCAGGGTGCTACATGTGAGTGTCCATCATCAAAGGCTAAGTCTGGGCATTTTTGGGATTTCTGGTTGTTGTTTGGGGCCAACCAGATCCAATGAAATGGGTCAGCTGCTTCCATGAGCAACAGGATAGTCAGGTTTCCACCAAGAGTCCTGTTCAGTCTGGAGAAGACTCTGTGGAGACCTTAAAGGACCTTCCAGGACTAAAAGGGGCTACACAAGGGTCAGGGAGGGACTTTTGGCAAGGGAATGGAGTGACAGGATAGGGGGTAGTGGCTTTAAACTGAAAGAGGGTGGGTTTAGACTAGATATTAGAAGGAAATTTTTGAGGGTGGTGAGACACAGTCACAGGTTGTTTAGAGGAATTGTGGCTGCCCCGTTCCTGGAGATATTCAAGACCAGATCCGACAGGGCTTGAACACCTGGTCCAGTGGAAGATGTCCCTGCCCATGGCAAGGGTGTTGGAATGAGATGGTCTTTAAGGCTCCTTCCAATCAAAACCATTCAGTGATTCCAAGATTCTGATGGAAAACGTCCTGGAGGTCAGCCATGGTTGCTGGGCCAGTAAGTACAATCACAGAGCCCAAAGTGAAAGAAGCAGTTCATTACTAATCACTCTATGAAGAAATGGCTTCTCCATCCTGTAGCTGGTTCAGTGGCTGCTTGGCAGTGCTGGTGTAGGTCTGTGATAAATAAACCTTGGCTGCTGACCGCTCCTGACGCCTCCTTGTGAGTGCTTCCCGTGCATGGCGCTGGTCACAGCCCTTGCACGGGACAGTTCTTCAGCCATCGCTGGCTGCTCCTCAGCCCCAGTGCTTCTTCTCTGATCAGATGACTCATGTAACTAAACAACAATAAACTGATTTTCTGAATGGCTGCTCATGCCATTTAACACTTCTGACACAATTCCACGATTCCCTAGCTGCTGCCCTTGGAGCATCTGCTGCTCCATCCACACCAGCTAGGATATCTGGTGCCCTTTCGCTTTGAAGAGGGGGTTGTGTATGGTGAAAGTGGGACCTGCTGAGGACCTGGGACCTCCATTTTTGGGGGCAACCTTATGCTTTTGAACAACCTTTCACAGAGCCTTCTTCCTCTGCCTTAGCCCTTCCAAGCAGACGGCTGGTGCGACACCATCAACAACCGGGCGTACTGCCAGTATGACGGCGGGGACTGCTGCTCCTCCACCCTGTCCTCCAGGAAGGTAAGAGAGCACCTCCCGTGCCCTTGGCCGGCATCTGTGGATTCAGGGGTGACTGCTAGCTATGTTCTTTGGCTTTGCTGGCTGTGGAACCGAGCCTGCAGTGTAACTCTCCCATGAACGGAGAACAAACGCACGGTTCTAAACCAAAGCCAGCTGAAGCTGATGGACAGCATTGCACTGATTAAGAGCGGGGCTTGGACTCAGGCCAGTGGGATTGAAACCTCAGCCCAGCTCCCACTGAGGTTCATGGGATTTCCTCTCGTTTTGGGAAACATGTCCCAAAGAAATGACTTCCATAGGACATAGTGAGTCAAAAGTCACCTTGTGTAATTGAGTTGTCCCAGGGGATTTTTGCTGTTATCCACTGGCATCTGCTACAAGTGATGTTTTCCTCCCTCTCTAAGGAGGGAAGAATAGTATAGAGGGAGCAACTTGGCATTGGGGTAGCACAGACCCTTCTTTGTCTCCCATCACAATCTTCCCTCCCACCTAACTTGCTATCCAGCACTCACAGCCCATTCTTCCTAATCATATCCAACAGCAAAACAAATCACAGGGCATGAAATAATTTCTCACTGCAAAAATATGTGAATTTGGATCTTCTCATCTTTGTTGTGGAGCTTGAATCATTTCTCCTTTCATCACGCATACATACACAGAGAAAAGGAAAAATAAAATCCTGGGAAGATCCACTTGAGATAGGAAAGAAGAGGCTTTACACCCAAGTGATGAGTGAAATCCCCACAACAATATCATGACATCTCAGAGCAAAGCATGGCCAAAATAAAGGACGGGTTCACAGCAGAAAGTGGGGGGTTTCAGTCCCATGGCTCCCAGACCCAGCTTGCATCCCCCATAGGTTCCCAGATCTTCCGCTCAATAAGCCTCCAGCACATCCCTGTTAAGGCAGATGGAGAAATACAGAGTTTAAACATCAAAAAATCCCCAAAGCACTCCAGCCCTTCCTTTGCTGATCCAGTCTGTGAAATATCAAATGTTTTCACAGTAAGAAAAACTCCTGGCTCTAAGCCTGGTGTGTATAAAACCTCTGAAGAAAACTGTTTTCTCAGCTCCCATGGCTCATTACCAGGCCACTGTCAACCAGGAGTCAGCTGCTCAGTGTATGCCCTCCCTCCTTTCTCTGCTACCAGTAGCTAAGGGGACACAGGCTTGCTCTGTCACACGCAGTTATTGTAGAGAAAGTAATGTGAAAGGAGCCTCCCAACCTGCACCTGGGATGTCTCAAAGCTGCACAGCTTGTGAGTAGCCCTAGGTGAACCCACTGCCTGCTCCATGGAAGGCTGTTCCTGCTCACAGAGCCTCCATCCTGCCTGGCTTTCCTCAATCCACAATGCACAAGGACACTGCACCCACCTTGGGCAGTGTGCTGGTCAGCTTTGCAGCTGAGAGCTTGGTCGAGTTCCTCTAAGAGCTGCAGAAAAAAAGGCTCTGTTGTCTTTGTGTTTTGCTGGAAGAGCCAGGAGTAGCTGACAGGTCCACAGGTTCAGATGTGGATGAAGGGGGTTTTCTAAGAGGGACCAAAGTAAAACTTTAATCTGAAGGTGCCTCACCACTGCCAGGCCTAGTCTGAATGTCTTACACCCATCAGAGGACACTTCTTCCCAGGGTTTGACATTTGGGGCACAAGATTCAACCCGCTGCAAAATTCTAAACACATTAACAAAAAGGAAAAGGCTAAGAACAAAGCTCAGCTGGGGACAGGTTGTATCAGAGCCCATTGCTCAGTGAGCACAGAGCCTGGCAGTGCCAACAAAAGGGCACAGTCCAAAATGTCTGTTTGTCCACAGCAGTGTGGAGAGGCCTTTTGGGGGGACAGAGGGGTATCCCAGGGCAGAGCTGAGCTGTCCGTTTTGTTATAAATTATCAACAAGAAAGCCAAATCAATAAATGTGAAAGATTTTATTTCTGCGACCAAAATACACTCCTCAAAAACCACAGCCAAAGAGACAGCGTTAGGCCTGGGATCGGCACTGTGTGAACTTAGATCCAGCCTCTATTGCTTTGGATATCCTTCTGTTCACCAATGCCGTTTCCAGCAGGGCTGTTTTATACAGTTTTTTATCCTGAGGCAGAGGTGCCCCAATTTCTTTTGTCACCCCATATATGTATGAAGTTTCTTTTTACTGTGCAGGGTTGGACAGTTGCTGTTTCTTGGTTGGTGGTGGGTGCTGATCATGTCAGGAGAAGTTGTGTATTCAGATATATGTTTTTGACAACTTTAGTTATCTTGATTGATGATACTTATCAAGTGCTCATCATCTTTGGGTGTTCCCGTGTGGTTCCAGGGGAAGCCCATCTGCGAACCAGCCACGTTCTTTTTTTATTTGTTAACAATGCATTGATGCCCGCTGCCACCAGGAGTTTCGCAACTTCCGTGTGGTAATCTGTCTCCCTGGTCAGAGGCTCGGTGGATGTTTAATTTATTTTACAATTTTTATTTCATACATTTTCCATCTAAGCATGAATTACTTTACATGACTCTCGGAGTTTAGTTGTTCATTGCTGCCCTGAGATGTGTGAAAGGTCTCTGTTTCAGCCCACGTGTCCAAAGAACGAGTCAGAGCTCTTCAGTTTTCGGTCTTGAAGTTGTTTATTAATTCTTATCTATACAGTTTTCTTTCTGCCCAACCGAGATCCACTCAGCAGGGCCGCCACAAGCACTCTGACTGCCCTCGGGGCGGTGATGTCTTTTTATACTACAAACTACGTATAACATATTTACAGTTACTTTCCAATACCTATCACCTATGTTAGACAGTGAGCTTCTATTCTAAACCAATCCCAGAGTGCCAATATTACTGCAGAAGATGGAGACCAAGAAGAAGAAGAAGAAGAAAGACTAGACACACCCAAGTTCCTCCATCTTGTCCCCAAAACCTCCATACCAAAAATCCTAAAATCTACATTTTCACCCTGTGATAATTTTATTGTTATACTATTTAAGCTTCTGAGACTTTCAGGTCCTCATACAAAGCTGGTAATTTGCTCCACGGGTCATAATCAAACCCACAGGTGTTCTGGGCTGCGTACCAGGGTCTCCGAGCCCCCCAACAAGGTCCTCGGCAACTCTGGACACCCGGAGGGAGGTACTGAGTTCCGACACATGACACATGACACTTTGCTCCCCCAGGTGATCCCGTTTGCCGCCGACTGCGACCAGGACGAGTGCACCTGCCGCGACCCGGCGGCCGAGGAGAACCAGTAGCGGCGCCATGAGGGCCTCTCTGGGTCAGGCAGCGCCGGGGGAGCCGAGGGCCGGCGGCGGGGCCGTGAGGGAGAGCCGGGCGGGGCATGGCGGCTGCGGCTCAGGGGACGGCTCCAGCCCACCGAGGAGCCCCGGAGGGCGGGCTGGGGCCCCCTCGCCGTCGCTGCTCCCTCCAGAAGCCACACGAGGCGCTCAGGCCGCGGTCTGGGGCCGCCTCAGCCACACGCTGGGCCAGGGCCCGTCCACGCCGGGAGCCCGGGGGCTGCCATGGATGCGTGCCATGGATGCGTGTCCTGGTGCGGCTCCTGGGTGTCTGTCTTTGTCACTATTCACCCCTCTCTGCTGTACAGACTTCTTTTAGCAAGGTCGAGGTAGTTGTGATCTCTCTGCAAATATTTAAACTTAATTATATCTATATACATATATATAATATATATATATAAATATATATTATATTTTCTTTGCTCTCGATGAAGCTGAGAAAGGGTATCCTTTATCACACACCCATGCTGCTGTAAAGTACAAACCATTGGGAAAAGCACAGGTCAGGGCAGGAGGAGCAGGGATTTTCCCCTTCCTTGCTGAACGGGAAGGAGGACGGAGAGAGAAGCCAAACAGCCAGGCCATGGCAGGCAGGGAGGCTCCCACCTCACGGTGATTTGGGCATCTGGCACGGACCAAGCTTTGCCCTTGGTATTTGCCAGTGCTTTGCCTTGTTCTTCTTAGGGCGTGGATCTGGATCAGGATTGTAGGGTTGAGAAAAAATGTTATTGTGCCCTTGAATCATCCCAGTGAGCACAACAGATTCCAAGGGTACCACAGGCATCCATCACACATTATTTTAGAGCTCTCTGGGCAGGGTTATGTGCCCATGGGGATCACTGCATGGTCAATAGGAGCAAAGACTCAGCATTCTCCCTCTCTGTCTCACTCCCCCAGCCACTGCACACCCAGCTGGGTGTAGAAGCCAAACCAGTGTAGCTGTGTGATGCTTGAATGAAGGATGCTCTGGTGGTCCTTCTCTTTCCCTCACATCTAAGCTCCAACTGAGTTGTGTTGTCAGCAGCTCTCAGAGGAGACTAGGCCCTGTAATGCCAAAAGACCAAAAAAAAAAAAACCAACCTGTCAGGAGAGTTTGAGAATTATCTTTTCTCATTGAGATTTTCCTTAGTATTAGTATTCCTTATTATTATCTCTGTCCCAGCCCTTCAGACTGGACATACAGTTGCTGACTTCCTAGAGGCTCTTGCTCCTGTAGGCACTAAGTGAAAATCTGCAGATTCAGTTCTGGCCTCAAAGAAGCCCAGCAAGAAACTTTGCCCCCCATAATTAATTCCCAGAAGCTCAGCTTGGACCCAGCTGCATAAAGGCAGCAATAGGGAAGGTGCCTGGCTCCAGCTGGGATTATCACTGATGGTTTTGTGCTGTAAAGAGGCGGAGAAAAGGGGTAGAAAGAGGAGAGGAGAGCAGAGAAGGGACCACAGAGTAGAAACTGAAGGCAATGTCCCTGGGTGAGCACAGGCTGGGACCAAAGGACTCCAGGCTCTGTCCTGCCTGCATGGCCTGTGCTGCTGGATACAGGCTTCCAGCCAGAGTTTGTCTGATGAAGGAGTGGTGGAGAGAGGGTGACACGGTGTGGAGAGACCAGGAATTTTCAAGGCATCGTTGGAAACAGAGCTTCCACTAGCTCTACCCCATCCTATTGTGTCAGGAATTTCCTATGCTTGTGTTTTACTTGAGGACCTGAGTAGGGGCAGAGGGGCTTGGATATCCTACCAGCATCCATCCAAGCAGGAGATGCCTTGACCTTCTCCAAGCCCTTTCCTGAACCCAAGTGTCCCCATCCACCTGGCCTAGGCAGAGATTTGAGGAGAGGTGGGGGACAATGAACCCCATCTCCTCTTGGGACACTGACACTTTTGTTCTCATCGTGCACAAGGGACACCGCCCCAGAATTCACTGTCACTTGGGCAGATAGCAGCAATATCTTGTCAGATATCCACTTTTCAATTAAAAAACAACCCTCAAGCAACCCAAGGAAATTCAAATAATAATAGCTGCCCTCCACCCCAGGATGTGCAGCTTGGGCAGCCTGTGCTGCTCCACCAGTGCATTAAAGGGGAGATCCAGGGCTTCCAACACAGCAGAAGTGGGGTTCTGGCAGCCCCCACAGGTGGGGACATGGGATGAACATCACATCCAGAAGCAGAATTTCAGCATCTATTGCCATGACAAACCCTTCCCTGCCTGGTCTCAGCATTACCTGGATGCCTATGTGTTTATGTACCAAATTTGTATCCTTTTGGCATGAAAATCCTGGTTTTTTCCTCTGCTCACCTGTGTGTGCAGGGAAGGGACTGTGCCCCATGGACAGGGGAACTGGGGGGTTGGGACAGGAAGTGCTGGCTTGGCTGGTAGACATTTGTGCTTCTTATGACCAGACAGCTTCTACATACTGAAATATTGTTCTTCTATAGCGACACTGAGCGGTTTTTGTCCCCTTTAGGGTTTTATTCACAATGGAGGCTGCTGCTATTTTTATTTTTTTGTATTTGATAATTATTTTTTATAAAAATCTATGAAAAATAAATAATCTTCTCATCCTCCATCTTTCCTGCCTCTTTGATTCACCCAGAAGGGGGCCAGGGAGGTGGTTTGGTCCAACATATTCTTCTCAAATCAGAGATTCTCCCAGAACAGTCACAGCTCAACTGGAGATTTCCTTTGGGTTTTGGGGTGTGGGGGGACACTCACCTCCAATGCCACCTCATAATTCAAGGCTGCCACCCAGGCAGCTTTTACTGTGCCACCAGCTGCAAGAACACTTTTACAGAAGGTTTTCTCCAGGTTGTGCTACAAACTGGACACCTTCTATAATTAATCCACTTAAAATTAAGGGAAATGTCTGTGTTTGTGTGTGTATGTTCACATCCCTGGTGATAGGGAGCAGAAGGTGGCCCACACTAGAGCCAGAGACCATGTGAAATCCTGGCAAGAAAGTTAAAACCCAAGACAATAACGTTGCTTTAAAATTTGGGGAATTTTTTTTTTACCTTGTTTTCTTCAGTGACCAGGTAAAATTTTGTACCTGTGATCTGAGAAACACAAAAAGTCCTTGCCCTGTGTTTACACCCCACTCTTCTTCCTCCAGCCATCTCTGATGCTCCTCAGTCTTTTTATCATGTCTGGTCTTTGCACAGGGACTCACTCCCAGAGGAGGAACAGCATCTCCTGGTGACATCAAATGTCCTCTCTAGGGCAAAGCTCCCCAAATCAGGCAGAGGAGCCAACAGCAACCCTCCAAAACACACACTTTACCAAACCCTTCCTAAAAACCTACCAATGTGCTGGTGATGCACCCCTTGCAGTCCACTTCACCCTTTTTTTGGGGTGGCTTTCTCCAAACCCCTGAGGATTGCAAACCAGATGACCCCTGAGATGATTTTGTGATGAGCCAGCTGTGCTGAGATATTGACACAGCAATTTAGGCTTGCAGCGGCACACCCTGCTGCCACACAGACCCTCTCCCCTTCCTCCTCCTCCTCCTCCTCCATCTCACTCTATAGCCACAGCTTATTGTGCAATGAGATGGTGGTTAACTGCATGGAAAATAGCAGAAGGAAAGTATTGAGTGTATTTTTAGCTCATTTTCCTGCAATTTAACACTGGGAAAAGAAAAAAAAAAAAAAGAAAAATCAAGTCGTTCCGTGAGACTTGATGAAGTCTGGTTTCCTAAGGATTTGTGTGCTATAGTCCCTAAAATCCCCCCCTGTGTCCCTCCCAAGTGTCCTGCCTGTCTGCCTGTCTGTCTGCCCAGGCTGTCCCTGGGTCTTCCACCCATCTGGCAGGGCAGGTGGCAATGCACACTGGGCTTGGCCATGGGACCTGTCCTGATAGCCTGACCATTAGACACAACACAGCAGTGTAAGTGGCTTTTGGCATCTTCTGCAGATCTCACCTCTGTTCAGGCACTGCTTTTCACATTCTTTGTGGGACATTAATACTCATGTTGCTGCTAGTCCTCTGTCAAAAGTCTGCCAGATGGACCAGGACATTCTCCAGGGGTGGTTGATCACCAGACAGCACCAGCACCATCCCATCCACCTTACATACTAAAAGAATGGCTAAAAGGCGGGTAAATCACCTTATATACAAAAAATTGGCTTTTTTGGACTCTGCTTCCAAGTTCCCAGCCTCTGTGTAGGTTTGCAAATCAAGGGCTGAGAGACCCTTGCTGAGGATGTGTAAATGCAGTTTTTCCCCAAAAAAGGGATAGCTGGAGACTTCTTTACCTTACCACGTCCAGCAGAGCAGGTGGGCAGGACAGGGCTCAGGACACGGCTCCATCTGTGTGTGCTGAGTGGTTTGGGACTTGGCTAACCCAGTGGGCAGACAGGCTAATGCTAAACTTGTGTGAAGACTCACCCAAGTTCAAAGGCTGAGAGTGTTTCATCTGCAACCAAAGATGACATCAACTGGACCAAAACTATAAACAAACACTCCAGTTTGCCAGAGCCAGGGATTACTAACAGCTCCTTTTAATAGTCAGTTAAATTATCATCTGGAGTTTTACATAGTGGTACAATGATTTTTGTTGCTGTTGTTTAAAACCTTTTTTTTAAATTCTTTTTTTTTAAGTAATCCAGAAGGGTTTTGTATTTCTTGCCACACGGCTATCTCACCCTAAAGCACCCTACTTTCAATCTACAGTAGTAAAACGTCACATTAGAGGTTTAATAGAACATCAAGGAACATGAATTGTAGCCATCTTTGTAAAGAAAAGGACCAAACTGTTTTATATGTTAAATAACTCCACGACAAGGAAAAGGTAGTAATGCTATTACAGGGGTACGGACGCAGCAAAGAAAAGTTAACGACCCAGAGGTTCATCTCAGGTGAATGATTGCTCATTAATGCAGAAATAAAACAAAAAGAAAGGGCAGGGGGGGTGAAGGAGGTTGCAGAAATGGTTGGAAAGCAGTTCTCCTGTTGTTGGCAGTTTGGGAAGAATCAGGAGTCCAAGAGAAAATATTGTGCAGGCCCAACAGTAGGACCCTGCAGCAGATGTGGGTGGTGTCAGCTCTGCAGGAATCAGAGACACAGAATGGGTTAGGTTGGAGGGGACCTTAATGAGGATTGGGTACCAACCCTGCTGCCGTGGACAGGGACACCTTCCACTAGACCAGGGCACGCCTGTTTTGGGTGAGCAAGCCCCACACAGCACATCTCACCAAGGCCAGGTCTGCAGCAAGGGACAGCCCCCATGCTCGATTGGTCTGGTACCCCATGGTGGCTGCTGGCATTTGTCTGAGAGGG